GGTTAAAGGTCCAATGTGTAACATTTAAGAGGCTCTACTGGCAGAAATGGAAAATAATATGAGCAAGATACTGAATTCCAGATTGCTCCTGATGCTGTGCATTGGTGTATGAATATTAGTTTCTGTTTGTGATGGGCTTTGCGTGTGTGTGTCTGTGTGTGTCTGTGTGTAAATGTGTGAATGTGGCATGTAGTGTAATGTGCTTTGAGTGGTCGAAAGACTAGACAGTCCATTTACATTTACCATGTAATAATTTTTTGAGTGTAATTAGAGTTCAGTGACTGTGGTCTGCAAGTAACATGAGTGCTTTATTGGACTGAGGTCATATGATTGACTTAGTCAGTCAAGAACACTAAATCTTTTGACCTTCCTTTGGCGGTATGTATAGGATTATTGGTTACATGATGAATTCTATCCAATGAATGTTGATCCATTTGTTTGTGTTTGAGTTCATCTTATGAGTGAGATACAGTGAGAAACCTGTATGTGATTACCGGGTTCTCACTGCATGTTTTGTGGAAACTGTAATATGGTCTTTGTATTCTTGAGGCTCTGCATCTTGTGGTAACCTTCTGTGGTTATGCTGAGTGAGCTGTACAATTAGTCAACTCAGAGTGTTTTTTTATCTTTTGATTTGTTGTGCTGGGGTATTTGTACAACCTCCAGAAGACCACTGCACTTCATATCTGCTGTGTTCATCGGTGTAATCTTGCTTTATAACAATGTACCAAACAGTTGACTTTTAATATAATTTAACACATTATTTTTTCTGCCTGAGTTTTTTCAGCCTCATGATAGTCTGCTTCACTGCCATTTCCTTTTCCTCAGTGACATGTCTCGCATTGAGAGGCAGTAACAGACGTCACACATAGACTCAGCTTCATATCCTTAACTTTATTTTCTGCATATCAAGTAATTATGAAACGAAACACCTTTCAACATTGATGTACAGTTTATTTTATGTGGATTCAAACACCCTAACATTTAAACTATAAGTTGGCTCTTCAGTGAACTGGAACAATGAGGTCAGAGTACAAAGAGAGTGGGTTGTTGCATATAGATGTTCATTGTGTTTTGTTCTTTCCCCCATCCTCTCTCCATTTCCATCTGTCCTAACTACTCTGATTCCCGTTTCATTTCTGCTCTTTGGTTTTTACTAAACCTTTTTTCCTCTTCAGTTCTTCCTCACTCTCAGCCCTCCTCTTGCTCCCCTTCTCCAGCTGTCAGCACAGAGAGTCTGTCTTCAGGCTCAGACCACAGCTCCTCCCAGCCCCCGTTGGGTGGCAGTGCCAGCAGCGACCAGCAACACGCCTTCACCAAGAGTGTCTCAGAGCCTTCCATCTGTTCACCGTGCGACTCTGCAGCCTCTCCTTCCTCCTCCTCCTCAGAGCACCTGCCTCATCCCTCCCCAAGCCCTTTCCCTTCTCCAATGCCATCAAATGCCAGCTCAGCTCCAGCCACCCCACAGACAGGTCGCAGCTTGGGGGCCAAAGGGCCCGGAGCCCCTCCACCACGACCACCGACGACTCCCAGCCCATTGGCCTCAGCAGCCACTCAGTCACACAATAAGGTAACAAGGACCACCCACAAATAAAGCAATAAAAAGCAGTACATTTTGCACATTATATTGCAGCTGTATTCTCTTTCTTCATTAAAGCGGATCTGTAAAGAGAACCCATTCAACAGGAAAGCCTCTCCCTCCCCTGCTAAATCCAAATCCAGACCACCAAAAGGCCCACGTCCTGCCAGACCCCCGGCCCCTGGCCATGGCTTCCCTCTTATTAAACGCAAGGTACGAAAACTAAAGAGGAATGTATGCTGCATGTTTTAGAATTAAAATAATGTATAGAATTTCTTTTTTCCCGCTGTGTCAAAGAGGAAGACTAAATATCACAGTGGAAGAAATACTCAAATGACCCAAATGATACAAACATTCATCCAGGTGCAGTCAGATCAGTACATCCCAGTGGAGGACATCCACGGGGAGATGAGTCAGCTGGAGAAGCAGCTGGATGAACTGGAGCAGAGAGGAGTGGAGCTGGAGAAGAAGCTGAGAGACAACCCTAACGGTAACCTAAATAAAATGGGATGGAAAAAAGCAAGATCCATAGATTTGATCTGAAAGAACAATGCATAATAACAGAAACATAGTAAATATCTCTGTGCTCCCCTTTATGTGTGTTTTCAGATGAGGATGAGGAGCATCTGTTGGTGGACTGGTTCACTCTCATCCATGAGAAACACCTTTTAGTACGACGAGAAGCTGAGCTGGTCTACACGTAAGCATCAAACTGTATTAAGGGACTTAATCGGTTTATGTAATAAGCTCCCATGCTACAAGATTTTAGTTTCCCTGGAGTCTGGGGAAAAATCAAGCATAGTTTTTAAGTTTATTAAGTTCAGTAGTAAATTGGAGAGTAAAAGTGTGTAACGTACTGTGTGAATGTTCCTCACTGCAGAGCAAAACAGCAGAACCTGGAAGAGAGGCAAGCGGATGTGGAATATGAGCTGAGGTGTCTTCTCAACAAACCAGGTGTGTTTTCCCTTCAGAGAATGTGTCGTCAAATCCATTGCCTGTATATGTTTGTGTGTAAGGCTTGACTCATGTTACAAAGCTACTTACTGCCACCCACACTTTACAGTACACTATATTTTTTTTATCTGTAACAAAAAGAGTTCATTAAAACTTTTATAACATCATATTCTGTTTCTTTTTCTATTAACATAAACCAAACTCCTCCTGTAGTACTTACATTCACTGCTCAGGCATACAGTACACTGATCAACAGAGGGCTTTCTGTTCACGTGAATCAACATTTTATATTAATTGAAAGAAAACCAAAATGAAATCATTCATTGTCATCCCTTCCTTCCTCAGAGAAAGACTGGACAGAGGAGGACAAGAGTCGGGAGCAGGAGCTAATGGCAGAGCTGGTTACCATCATTGAACAGCGCAACCAAATTGTGAACAACATGGACCAGGACAGGCAGAGGTAATCAATGACTGGAAGTTAACTGTGTACCTTGGCACTGACCCAGAGTGTATTGATCAGTGATACTTTGCAACTTCCAGCAATCTAACAGTCATTCTGTCACAGGGAAGAAGAGGAGGATAAACTTATCGGAGCCATGCTGAAGAAAAAAGGTAGGACAAAAAAAAAGATTAAAGGTTAGGTTAAAGATTCTTAAGATAGGAGCATTCAGTAAACATAAATGTTGTATCTCACTCTTTCTTCTCTCACTTACTCTTGTTGTTTTCTGATTATAGGACCTGTGTGAATCTTAACATAATTTTCTCTATTTTCATCCTAATCAGACTTCAGTAAGGATCCAGAGGGTGAGCAGCAGCAGCAGCAGCAGCAGCAGCAGAAGAAAAAAGGGGCAAAGTTCAAACCCATTAAGGTGCTCAAGAGGCTGAGCCATAAAGGAGAACCAGGCAAGAGCCCCCACAAGGAGAAAACACCATAAAAAGGACAAAATCTCCTCCAAGAGGACATGAGACTATTTTAATAAAATGAAGGAGGAAAAAAAAAAAAAAGATGTGAGAAAAGAAATATATCAGGTCAATAAAATCAAAGATATGTATACATAGACGCCACATTGGCCGCTGGATGATACTTGGCCACCAAATTGGACCGGGCAAGACAGGCCTTGCGACAATGGCGTATCCCAGCAACGGGCCAAAGCAGCGCCTGTGTATACATGTCTATGAATAAGATGAGGTCTCATTTAACTGTGTCATTAATGACTTGAAGTGCAGCCCTGTATCCACTCCCTGCTCGCATCTTACTTCACTGACTATTTTCCGTTGTGTGTTTTTAAAGAGACACTACAACAACTCAACGCTATTAGAGCTGACATGTTTGTAAGCTCTCTGACCTGTCAAGCTAGGAGTGTGTAGAGTATGATTCGTAATTACTGCACTGATGTGTTCTGTATTGCTTCGCTATCCTTGCATTGCACAGTGTCTGTAGGTCTTTGTCAAGGTTCGGCAAAAGTGCGATTCGTCAGTTCCCTTTGAATGAAGTCAGTTGGATGCAAGTTTTAAATGTTTTAACTCTGCTCCTGATGTACACTCCTTGAATACGTGTCTCCTCCGCTCCGTGATTCCAATGGTTAGTAGATGGATTTCTGAGAAGGTTTCATGTCATGTCTGGTTTCATTCTGTGGTACTAGTGAAAGAAAGGTTTTTCTAAGATGTACTCTGCTTTAAATTTTACCCTTGAAATGCTCAATCAACAATGGATACCTAAGCTCTTCTAGCTGCTATGTTATGATTGTTTGTGGTTTCCTTGTTTTTAGTTTTTTCAGTGATAGTTTAGTGAGGTCATCTGTTTAAATGCATATCATCAAAGATGTAGATGAGTGTAGATACAGTATTTATGGGTGTGTGTGACTGCAAGCAAAGTGGGAGACTCAATAATTTAGAAAATGTGAGATGAGGAGGAAAGCATTATAGAAAGTGTTAGAAAATGTATTAACATAAAAGGTCACACATACAATAATGAATATTAGATAAGGCAGACATATAGTACAGTTAACAACTGTAACAGAACCAGCTACCAGTTTATAACAGTTTTAACCATTGGGGAAAACCTGAATATGCAATCATTAATTTATATTTTACTATGCCTTTCTGTATGTTTCCATGTTTTGCCTTAAAAGTAGATAGGGAAAGACAACATGTTAATATTGTTTGTAAGAGTGCCATTTATTTAATTGCATATGTGGATGAGCGTCATTTGTTGGAGCTAATGTAAATGTCAGTATGTTTACTCATTCTGTTCCTGTTATGTTATTTAGATTGTCTATTTGTCCTCCATTTTAAATGGTAATCCCTGTCTGTTTGTGCTCTGTGCCTGTCTTCCTGTCCAGCTGAAACCAAGGGCTTCTGTAGTGCCACATTTCTGTCAGCTATACATTGTCCTAAAACAGCAGCAGGATTATACAAAATACTGACACTGGAAGGCAGAGGAATAAAATAACTTAATGCAAGAATGTAATGTTTTTTTGTAAATTTAATGCTTCCACAGTTTTGTCTCCTTGCAGACATCACTACACACTCATATCACTGGACCCATTCATACTCTGAATTTAAGCTTATATTGCTTGCACCTCATTTCCAAGAGTTCAGTCAGTGGCTGTGAGTCTTATCTCCTCCTGTCTCTTTACAGTTCATGTCTTCTGTTATCTGCTCTGCAGTCTGCCCTTTTCTCTCAGATGCCATTGGGTCCTTTTTGGGACTGCGGGTCTTGTTCAACATCTCCAGCTCTCGAAATTTCTGTTAGTAGAGTAGTGACACAGCACAGGTTTAAGTGCGATCATGTTTGAGAGAGAATAAATATTACACTCTCTCTCTGTCATGTTAAGGAACATTTAAGCTACTATTGATCTGTCTGTCAGCATCTATAGAACATCACATTAAACATTCAGAATGATAAATTCACACCTGTGTTAAAAGCTTTTTCAAAACCCATAATAAAGACTAAGTCAATTTGTAAATCATTACCTGGGATATCTCTGTGTTGATGATGTGGATATACTGCTTCTCCTGGCCCAGAGAGGCCATATCTTCCAGAAATTGTCTTCTCTCTTCTATCTCATCCAGAACTTCAAAATAAACAAACCGGTTAATATTAGACTTACATGGTGCTGGATATATTTAGTCAGGCAGAGTTGCTCAGAGCAGAATTTAATTCAGACTGAAATAAATGGAAACAGACTCAACGTGATCTTGTTCTCAGAGACAAAACTTCTTAATTTAAATGCAGTGTGTTTTCCTCCCTGTTACAGCAGCTATTCTTTTACATCATCTGTTTCTGTACAATCAGCCTCACCTTCCTGATACCGGTCTCTCTCCTCTGCCATCCCTGGGTTCTGACATGCAACATATTGCAAAGATCCAACTGTGGGCTCTTCTTGTCCCGTTGCTAAAATATTCTGAAGCCTCCTCTTCTCTTTCTCTAAGTCTTCTAGAGTGCAACGGAGAAAGAAAACGACAAGAAGATTTAGTGATGAATGACCTGCAGTTTATTACCATTGTTTACAATTTAGGCCCGTCAAAAAACACATGCAGAACTTATAATGGTGTCAATTTCAAGAACATACTTGTAGGACCAGGACAGAATCTTTCTCTGACGTAGCTGTTCCCAGAACGACAAGATTCAGCGCTGCGTCTCAGAGGCTTGCCTGGCAGGCGTTTCTGGATGGATTTACTGCTTTTAGGCTGAGGGTGGGAACCTGATGCTGTGGGGTCAGAGGTCAGTGGTAAAGCTGCTCCGTCTGAGGGAGAAAAGTTTAAGAAAAAAAAAAAAAAAAGCTTTTTAATGAGGCAATACAAAATTAAGGGATGCTAAATGTTTGAAATAGTGTGTTGAGGGAGTAGCGCAGCATCAAAGTCAGTTCAATGCTCATTGGGCAATTGCCCATTTTAAATTTGAGCACTGCGGATGTCAGCTGAGTTTGGAATAACAATATGTGGTGAGCACTGTACCACTTTCAAATATCTTTAACAATATATAAAATATCTGTTTTTCTGTGTATAATATATAACTATCACATTAATTATCCCCCAACCCCTCAGCCAAAGGTTTCAAACTTACTCTTGAGGCATTCGTTGATCTGTTTTCTCTGGAGGTTGGTGAGCCTTGATTCCTGCATCATCACTGAGCAAGAGATTAAAATATAAAACACTTGTATGTACCTGAACACACACACACACACACACACACACACACACACACACACACACACACACACACACCTCCGTCAACTCCTTTATGTGTGTTTACCATTCACACCTAACCATCCACACCAGAAAATCAACAAGTGCATCATCTCACATCTCATCATGTCCTGGGTCTCCTTGCTGTACTGGGCGGCTCTGGGGTTGTTCCACAGCCCCCCACCAGCTGAGCTCTGTGAGGAGGTCTCCATCTGCAAGACACATTTTGCATTTGAGATTATCCTCAACCTCTGGGGCTTTGTTTACTGTTATCTCTGTCTTACTGAAAGCTAGCGCTCAGTTTTCATTTGTGAAATCTCTTCACAGACAGACTGGCTGTGGTGATGTCATTCAAAGACAAATCCTGGAGCTGCTCCATAGACAATGACTGACAACTCCTATATGACAGCAGCTATACTGCTTTAAATGGAAATTATTTGTATGTGATATTATGTTAAATATAAAAAATAATAGCAATGGCTCAGTTCCTTCATTCCAAAATGTCCATTACCTAGCGCCCTTGCTGCTAACGTTAGGTTGCTAACAACTGGCAGACGTCAAAGGGTAAGAAGTAAACTCTACAAGAAAGAAGCGCATGTAAAGAAAGGATAACTTGACAAAAGTGAAGGAACTTACTCAAACTGTGCCGCTTTTCTTACCACAAGTCCTTCGTGAACACTTTAGCATTAGTTAGCTAACGTTAGCTAATTTGTCAAACTGCAGCGTACACAGCAGCGCCAACAGTCTGTTGCTATAGCAACCAAGTAGCTACAAGCAGCACAGGTCACTGACAGTATGCGGTATGGATAGAAAGGACTTTTTGCTTCTGACTTCAGATGTTTTTAAAAAAGTTTCAATGTCATATCAACCTATTCTAAACACTGTGATGGTTATTTGTTTTAAACTTGTCATTTTTTCTTCTGTAGCTGAAGGCACGTTGACATCATGTGGCCACTAGATGGAGACAAAGACAGTTTGTGTTGATACCGCCATCAGTTACTATTGATAATATGCAAAACGAGTTTATTATCTTTAAAATTATATTTTTAGACTGGTGATACACACAAATATACCAAACCCAAAAGGAATATTATGAGGAAGAATATTCAAACAATTTGTATGTGGAGAGGGGATCACATTTAAATAGAACAGAGACTCAATATAAGTGATCTTTGTCTGTCATTAAAGTGGGAATAAGGAGGGTCTGTATGCAAAGCCTAAAAATCTCTACTCTTTTCATGTTTTATTTTGTGTTTTCCAAACAACTTTATAAGCATTTTATTATAATTATAAATTCATAAATTATATTGGGTGTGATATATGGTATTATTTTGGCACCAAGCACAAATGTTTTCTTCTTGTGGTGTCTTCTGATAACATCATACTCGCACAAATTTACAAGTTAGTCTCAGGCCTTTGGAAATGAACTGTCCTTTGGCAAACTAACTAACAAACTGCAGATGTTTAAGGTCAGAAAGAGGCCATTTTGTGAAACCACCACCACATTTCAACTTGTGTCGTGGATGTCTTGTGCAGTCATCACTCGGAGGGAAAGAGAGAGTCTTTATCAGTGGTAGGCTCGTCATCGGGGATCAGCAGCAGTCAGGAGCCCATTATCTGTGGGAAGACAGCAGCCTGCCTCTGCCCCATGTCAACAGATAAACAGCAGCCAGACTATAATCACCTTTCACATATAGGTCTTCTCAGAAGTCAGGGACGCACGTCCTCACTGAGAAGACAGAGACCGACCTGTGTATGTGTGTGTGGAGAGTTAAAATTATCAGAAGTATTGGCTCGACAAAGGCAATGAGGTTTTTATTGCAGGCTTAGAAACTGAATCATGAACTATTGCATATTGTTTGTTTATGAGCTATACCAAACGGCTTACCTGTTTACTATTATTAACTAATATTTTGTTATATTAGTTATTCACATTGAATGTCTGTAAGTAGCTCTGAAATTACAGATCAAAGACACATCCAGTGAGATCTCTGCTGGATAGAACATTATATCTAACATGTTATTCACCGTTCATGCACCAACACACTCTGCACTCTGTGCCAAAGTGTGCTTTATGAGATAATGGCTGACATGAGCTGTTTAATAGTGAATGAAAAATAACACAGAGAGCCCTGCAGTGTTAGGGGCTCATTTTGTAGTGGCTTGAGAAATGGTTCATTTTGTATTACTTCTAGTTCATAATGACTGCATCCTGATATATCTATAGAATGCTTTTTATGTATTATTGCTATTAATTTCTCGTTTAATCATAAGGAATTACAAGTCACTCTTTTGGGTTTATTTAGATTTGAGTGTTTTATTCCATGTTAAATGTGTTTAAATGCCTCTCTTTTCTGTCCTTGTAAAGCACTCTGAATTGCCTCCGTGTTTGAAAGGTGATTTACAAATACTAAAGTCACCTTTACTTTGACATCTTACAATGACAAACCCAGACAGGATGATTTATTAGTGTTTATTTCTGGATTGTAGATGTACACTAGCTGGCACAGTGAGGCCATTAAAATACAGCAATCATTATTTGCAATGTATTTAAAATAAAACCCAATTGTTTGAATATAATAATATATATAATTATAATATATATATATATATATATTATATTTAAATAATAGCTGATGGACTATGTTAAGTCTAAGGGTAGTTTTCAACTGTTGTACTTCTTATGTGAAGACTTAACATTGAAAGTAGTCAGTCCACAAGTTTCAGCAAATGTTGAAGCTTATTTCTCTTTAAATATTCTGTTAAGTACACATTGAAAAGATGATTTGATCTGCATTGATATTACATTCATATTTATGGTATCCGTCTGAATATAAAAATAATCATTTAAAGACTAATCATTTAATAAGCTAATGTTTGTTGGCGAAATGACAGCTCGGTGCTCCTCAGACTTTTTGCTCTGAAACCCACAGAACAGGAAGACACTGAGTTTGAGGTGAGATAGTAAAGTTTGTGACTTTAAAAGAACAGTCTTAAGCGATGAAGGAAAGGAGCCAGCTAAATAACTCAGACACATACGCTCCACCTCCTAACGGTCAAAACCTACATGAAAAAGAGAGATTTGAAGTTAGACTTGCAGCTGACAGAGATAGACAAGAGAGAGGAGGGCGAGATAGCAAGTCAGCTTTAAGATCCTGTTTCTGCGACCTTTCAGCGCTGAGTGGACTGTACCTGGGATGTGTGGCCTGGTGAGCTGGGGTTTCTGGATATTCTGTTAGCTGAGTGTTTAATATGGTCATGTGAAAAAGAAAGAGAACCAAAAAAAGAAGAGAAACTTCATTTTTGCTGCTCTCACTGTCAGTCGGCGTCATATCAAACTGCTTGATGGCTGTTACACAGGCTGTGCTCCCTTCCTTCAGCTCCTTCTCCAACCTCGCTCACTCCAGTGACAATATGAAAGTAAGTATCGGGTTCACTTCAGTCCTTTCATTCCTACACAGTGACAGAAACAACAAACTTGATTTGAATAGTTCTTTGTGTTACTGTAAGAATGGACAGCTGGAACCAAAGCAATACATGATATTCCATATCTGAGAATAATGAAAGTCATGTAACCCTTTGCCTTGAATAATCTATATTATTGTGATGATTATTTGTAAATTAGTCTTCACAAATGTGTCAGTCTTGTACTACAATGCTGAACTTGTGAAATGTCCCACTTTAAATTTCAAACTTTTACATCACACCTGCTGAAAGCATTAGTCTTGTATATCTTCCTTACCTCCTTTGCTTAATGGGATAGGAATAGGCTTGCACATCTAGTATTTCCTATGCAGGTGCATCAGAGAGTAGAGTTATGAGAAGTCATACTTCTGAGTTGTTGAGGACTCTTGTACTGTAGCACTGAAAGCACTTTTGGTTGTTCTTTGGGAGGGATTTGGTGAAATCTTGCTCATTCCTATGGAAGCACTTATTGTAAGCTGCTTTGGAGGAAACCAGTTTTTTCAAGTCTATCTCTCATGCCCATATGTACAGTGACACTGTACAATACAGTGAGTTATTGGTTGCTGTAATTGCTCCTGTGCTCCATGGCTGCAAAGAAATCCCTTCCTAATACAAAAAATATATAAAATCCACAGCCCTTATTCTGTTAAAAAAATCACTTTAAAAGTTGTGTTGAGTTAGACAAATCAATCTTTTAAATCTTGAGTCTTTTTAGTACAAAATTCCCTCTCGGAAAGTTTCCTTTCTGGGCCATGGTGGAGGGAACATAAAGTTTTGTACTAAATTTGGAAGATACTCACTTGATTTGATTAGCTCAGACTGCTTAATTCACACAGTAGAAGATGACCTCTAGAATATATTTTTACACTAATCAAGGACTGTGGATTTTGTCCCCCATCACTTACATTGGACGTGTATTAGGAACTGATCTCTTTACAGCCAGTATGTACAGAGGGAACACTTAGAGCAAGCAAAAATTCTTTCATTGTAGATGTTTTACAAGAATCCACTGAACTTGACTTACTTGATACGAGCACAGAGAAGAAATTAGGGTCCATTTTAAAGCATTTATTGTCTTTTCTTTCAATCAAAGTGAGGTGCAGTTGAGTGGTTTCTTTCTAATTAAAAGAAAACATACACACAACTTAAATTCTATCATAGTATCTTGAATACAGAAATCAACAGCTCTGATCAGTATGCCAACACAGATGAAATATCATTATCAAATAAAATGGAACAAACTACTCACTCAACACGCTCAGGGACAAAGGGTACCACCTCAATGGAAGTGAAAACATTGAATGAATTCCGTCAGGATACTCAATGCACCTGTGTCAGCTGTGCCTGCTTCCAGGGAGTGTGCTCTTGTGCTCCCCAATACAGCAGTCATGTGACCTCCACCTCCAACAGTGCATATAGACATGCAAGTATTATTTTAAGATAGACTTGATAAGATAGTGAACCAGTTTTTTAAATGCAAAAGCAATATGCAGCTAGCTAAAAATAACGTCTCAATGCTCTCCAACATCATCTAGGTGTGGAAGTCTGAGAGTGGCTCTCTTCCTCTGGATTCTCTAAGCAACAAACTCTCACCAAGCAGCTCTGAGCAGCTGCAGGTCTCTCAACAAATGACAGAGGAGCTCCTGGACGATGATAGCCAGGCATCCTGGGACATTGAGTTCCTGCTGTCTGACTGGAGCAGCCAATCGCCTGACCTCAACCCCTCTCTGGACAACAATGATCAACGGCTCCCACAACTGGACACAAACAGAGCATACCAAGACCATACCATGTTTAAGGACCAACCGGGGCAGGAGCACCTGCAGATGAACAGTTGCAGTCTCATGGCGGATCTCCTGTCCCCTGCTGAAACCACAACGCCGGTCCAGCAAGAGCTGTACCACCATGGTTATATTGATGACCAAACAGGTCTGACTACATATCCCAGTCTACCTAATGTAGACCAGTTTGGTTTTCCCCAAGGAGGCAGTGTGGAGAGGCACAGCAGAGGAAACCTCAGTAAAGTCTCATCATGTGACTTTAACCCTTACTATCCCCTGCATCACCCCTCCATGGTGACCTTCCCCGACAGCAGGTTCATACCACCTCAAGCTGTGGCCCCTGACCCTCGACACTACAGCTACATGCCACACTTTAACCATAATGGCAACCTCTTCTGTGACTACGCCCACAGCCAGGCCGCTGGTCACCTGCCCCTTCACCAGCAGCCTGTACTCGGCGGACCACAGCTGCCCCCTGGTGGGGTGGAGGGGAAGCGTGGTCGAAGGCCTACAGGGAAAAAGAGGCCCGCCATCCACAGCTGTGAATACCCTGGCTGCAGCAAGACCTACACTAAGAGCTCACACCTCAAAGCTCACCTCCGCACCCACACAGGTACAACCCACTGACTCTACCACAGAAACAACAAATGAGTCTGTCACAATTAGTCTCAAAATATGATTTAATGCATTTGTTTGGTATTCACCACCGGTTTTATTGTTTACTCTTCAGGGGAAAAGCCTTACCACTGTTCATGGGAGGGCTGCAGCTGGAAATTTGCCCGCTCAGATGAGCTGACGCGCCACTACCGCAAGCACACAGGCCAAAAACCCTACGAGTGTCTGCTGTGTCAGAGGGCCTTCTCCCGCTCTGACCACCTTGCTCTGCACATGAAGAGACACACCTGATGCTCTTAATTACCTCTTAATTTCACCTAAACAAAAAATTTAAAAGGTAGAACACTTATGATGACTTGGATATTCTTTGAAGTTTGAATTGACTGAACAGATAAATTGTGACCTCAGGTATTAGCTGAACATGTTCACAGTATTAACTTTAAATCTGTACTTGATTATCTGGCTGGTTAACAATACAGGCTCACATGTAAACGTGAAATTATCTCTTTTCTGTATAATTAAAACGTTATTACATTTAAAAGAGTACTCCACCATCGTTACATGGCGCCTACAGTACCCACAATGCAGTTCTGTTGGACATTTATATGTGTTATGGAGCGACGTTTGGTTAGCTCACTTCTTTCTAACACCACACCCCTAATGTTTTAAAATGTTTAAACTTGTGCTCTTCAGCTCCAGCCAACACTGATTCATTGACATCACTTAAGGCAATTTGTCAATCCTCAACTTAAAGTTGCTCCCAAACAAAGGCCTAAACCCAAAAAGCAAGATTTTGTCCTTACTCGACCTACTGAAGAATTGATGATTGGCCAAAATGTCCACACATTGATGTCTAAAAATCTAATTGGTCCTTTTAAAGTACTTTGTGAGAACCAGCACAAGAACACGCTCATATTGTAAAGCTAGCACGCTTTCAGCAATAAGGGCCACTTACACTTACACTGTACACACTGTGGGCATGTATGACAGCAAACATTAACACTAACAAAAGACCAACCAATGTGTGTAATATGGGCTATAGTATATCCTGTAGGATCTCATGGCATGCTGAACAAACGCTGAACAATGCTTGGCTGTATTACTGCTGAGATGGTCTGATATCTTTGTCTGATTTCCGTTAGAACAATAATGATTGTAAAAAACCAACAAACTATAAGGTATACGATAAAATGTGATTATACAGTGAATTCAGGGTTATGTATATTTGTCACATAACTTTATGTTTGTCTGTTTGGGGGTATTTTAATTTAAGAAAAAAACATATGCTTTTGTCTCTCTCATCAAGCAGAATTTAAAACTGTAAATAATCTGCAGCTTTCTTAGTTGTTTATAACCATTTAAAAATGAGCAACATATTTATTAACATAATGTTTTATATCAACAGAAGATACTATATTATTATACAATGTTTTTTTATTCTCAAAAGAGTGCTTTAAAGTCTTAATTATTGTTTTCATTGTCATAATAAAGACCTCTAATGCTGTAAAATTGTCTGAGAATATGACAATATTTTATCCAGGCAGCTGAGCAATAATATTACACCATCACAGTGTGGAGTTGTATGTTTCAAGTCTAATGTGCAGGTCAGTGATTTCATTGCCATGATTTCATCCACATTTTAAGTGCTGGGGGCACAGTAGCTCACCCAGGGGAGCGCACGCCTTACGTAGGCTGAGTCTGTACTCTCTGTCTCCATCTGTCCTATCACATAAAGGCATAAAAAGCCCAAACATTTCTTTAAAAAACACAACAGTTCTGTCGTTGAGAGAGCGGAATTAATGTTTATTTTCCCCATGTGATCCCATTAACAGAATATATCTGGAGTATGACTGTAGCTTAGACCTTTTCATCTAAGTCATTCTCACAAGCCCTCATCTTTTTTTATTTCACAGTGGCAAAAACCCAGTTGAGAACTTAACATATATAAAGTGTAATGTCAGCCTTTGGCCTTCAGGTGGCAGTCTCCTGTTATTCTATTAACCCTGTTGCCTGCAGACAGGCATCAGCAGGCTGTTGGCAGTTGAGTCTGCAGTGTTTCTAATCTGGGTGAGGGTGAGGTTAGGACGAGAATCTGCTTATGTAACTCAGCACTCACTGATTCATCCTGATTATGTCAGATGATGGAGGTCGTCATCACATTACAGAGCGCCCTTTCTCTCTCTGATACACATGCACAGACATGTATGGCCTCAGGAAAGGCAAACACAGAGAAAAGCAAACACAATTACACACTCATTTACCAGCATTTGTAACACATACTTACATACACACGGAAATTAATTTGTATCTGTTTATTGTCAAGTATTTTGGTAAAGCTACAATAACATAAAGTCAAATCACAGTATTTGGGGCGGCAGTAGCTCAGTGTGTAGGGACTTGGCTTGGGAACTGGAGGGTCGCCGTTTCAAGTCCCACAGACCACAAAATATGGAGTGTGGACTGGTAGCTGGAGAGGTGCCAGTTTCACCTCCTGTGCACTGCTGAGGTGCCCTTGAGCAAGGCAACCTAACCCCAAGAAACTGCTCATGGGGCACTGCTAACGTGGCAGCCCATCACTCCACCATCTCTCTCCCTGTTTGCATGTCCACAATCCCTGCATGTGCAGTGTGCATTTCAGCCTCTGCGTGTATAAAATAAAAAAAGAGTGAAAGGGCAATTGTTTGTAGTTTGTTTGAATACTTTAAACGGGCAATCCACCAATTCTATACATTAAGTTCAGTTTACTTATCATTTAGAGAACTACTCTGTGAATACAGTTGTATAATGGCTCTGGAGGCCACAGACGTTTTTCTATTTTTTTCCAGAATTAGAAAAAATAACCCTGGTGACACCATAGTGATGTCATCAGGGTTATCCCAGCTTGGGCTTGTGACCTAAAAGTCTGTGTTATAAATCCACAGTGTGGGGTTTGAGAGATGTGGCCATTTAGGAGTCAGCTTTATCTAATAGCAGGTTCATCTAATAGAGTTATTGTAATTACGAGTTCTCTGAAAAGCTGTGATATAACAGAGCTGGCCCGTACTAATACAGAAGCGCCCAAAAACCAAAGAAATGTAGAGAACTCATGTGAGCCAAGTCATTAATATGATAATCTTTCCCATCTCTACCATGCCAGTTTTTTGGAACTGGATCCATACTATGGAGTAAAAGTTTAAAACTTTATGGAAGTGCAGCTACCCCTTTAAGATTATCAAACAGGTTTTACAGCAATATATTTTGCTGGTTGTTGTATCAGACTTGGCTGAAAGGAAGGTACAAACACACTGGTTTAGGTGTAGCGATTAACCCTTATTTGGCACAGCAAAGTAGCTTCTTGGTGTACTATCATGGCTATGATAAGCTTCTTAAACCTGCTCATCCAAGATGGCATGATAGCAGACGAGCTTGGCAGTGAGCCCGTAACACACACACACACACACACACACACACACACACACACACACACACACACACACACACACACACACACACACACACACATATATATTAATGCCCTACTCACAGCCAAATATACAGACATGAAGTAGTCCTGATAATTATAGTGCTACAGATATACTTGGCAATTAATAATCTGTTATCCACTGAGACTGTACTCGCATAGCAAGGTAGTACACATCAGCAATTACGTTCGCAGCACTTCAGTAACAGGTTAGAGGTGGTCATGAGGCTCCATCTGCAGCATTAGTTTATTTTAGTGTGGCATTCAAGGGTAAGTGATTTGCGATTTAGAGGTAACACGAGGACAGAGGCGGAGTTCTGACCTGTAGTGCCCCGAAAAGAACAAACAATCAAACTCTTACACAAATCCTCTCTCTACTTCCACTTTCTAGTTCCTCCTTCCCTGTTTACATCATGTTATGCTCAGAGAGGGTATTATGTAGGCATTATGCATTCATGACAATATTCAAGTGTTAAATCTGAAAAACAAGCAGTGAAGCATGAACAAGATGTGAAATGTTAAGCTATAAAATATTTAGATGTTTTCTTTCTGTGTGAGCAGTGGGCAGCAGCTAAAGTGGTCAAAGGTGAAAAATGTCATTATTATAATGTTTGTTACCAGGCCAAGGCTTAAAACCTGAATACAATTCCAATAATGCAATTGTTTTTTTGGCATGCATTGGGTTTCTATTTGCAAGTGACAACTGCTCTGTAGAGTTGTAAGTTTCCTTTTCTATAAATTCCCACTGGTAGATTATTATTGGGAAAAGCTCATTAAACCACTTAGTTTAATTGTTTTATGAGAAACAACACATTTTCCTCATTTCGTCATTTTCTTCCATGTTTCATCAACATGGGAACAGAACTAACACTTGAATGTTAAGCAGCTGAAGGAAGGTTTACTGCGAACAGATGCGTAATTAAATTCCCTCTCTCTGTCGTGTTTTCCTCTGTGGAGAAATGCAGATTAATCACTCTCTGTGTATGACTTTTCCCCATGCAGAGGACATTTCAGGACACTCGTTTAATCAAATGAAAAAGGAAGAAGCAGAAAGAGGTAGTCAACAAGATTAGTCAGTGGTCACACATACTACTCATAACAATAATGATAATAAAATAATACAAATGATACAAATAATTTATCTCTGTAATGGATTTAAATTCATATGCTATACTTAAGCTTACTTAAACGTAACTTGTGCTTTATATTAAGCTATTAAATTATTTAATTTCCTCCTTTAGCAGTTGTTCCATGAATGAGCCTTTTTGTGTTCATAAGACACGAAAATAGCTAATTTAATTCATGCACATTAAAGAAAAAATCCTTGAAACGTATTTGTGTGATTGCATATAATTCACATGACATCAAGACTCTAAGATATTTACAGCTACAGCTGTTACATAATTACATAATTTAAAACGAAGACAACATTTTCAGCTATAAACATTTTATTCAATTCTATGCAAACCCTTACAACTGAACTTCCTTCAAACATTGTATTATGTCCTTGTCCTGCAGGCGCAGACGTACTATAACATCCAATGAATGGTATCAGTGTGCGCAAAAGAACAGTGTTACTGAGAAGAAGCTGTGTGTGTGTGTGTGTGTGTGTGTGTGTGTGTGTGTGTGTGTGTGTGTGCAGAAGTTTGGTGGACAATTCCGTTCACCAAACTTCTGCACACACACACACACACACACACACACACGCACACACACAGTCACAGAGAAACCGGCACTTAGATACCATTCACTGTACACTATATTGTAGCGTTAATATTTTAGGAGCTCTGCCTCTCCAGTGAGCATCTATAAATGGATTTTCTCTGCATTATTAAATCCTGCTACCTCTGGACAGCACTGATGCCAGCGTTCAAACTGAGATATCAATCTACAGTATACATTTGTATTTTGCAGGAGTTCATGGACAGAGCCAAACTGGCAACCCTTCATGTAATAGGAGAGGCAAAGATTTCTAAATGCAATTAAACTTGTCCAGCAGAATATGTGTCTGTTCTCACTCCCATTAAAGCCTTTACTTAACTAATTTAAAACAGAGTATTGTATGGATGTGTGGAATTATTGACCGTACTGTTTGTTTGCGATTACACAACCTCACGTAATGGGAATCTTGGCCTGATATCCAAAAGCAGGATGAGGATTAGAGCGGTGAAAGCTGCTGCAGTACTCATACTGCTGAAAGAGACTGTGAGTCCAAGTGGATCGAGGGATATAAAAAGGAAAGAGAAAGAGAGAGGGGGAAAGAGAGAGGGGGAGGGAGGGGGTGAGCTGATTCCCCTGATTTGAACCTGAGCGTACACACACAAAGTCAAACAAGGCCACTGCCCGCTCTACTCTCAGGCAGTCAATGTCTGCCTTCTATTCGAAGATCTAATAAAGCTTCACATACACATGAATGCACATGCATTCACATTTGTACTCTATAATGCGAGGACAGTTGCTGACATAATATATTCACTAGGCCCTAACCTTAACCCTTAAAGGGTGGGCTCCAGTGATTTACTGTTACACTAGGGGGACTAAGAAATGGTCAAAATCAAAGCTGCAGAAGATTTTTATGGATGGGTTTGACGAAAACACCAACATACATAATGGACCTTGATATAGTGATATAGACTCGATAGAACCTCCTTGACTGTTAATAATGCCTGTGTCTTTCAAACTCCATATGCCGATTTTATAAAACAGACTGAAAATGTATAGTCTCTCAAAATTAGTTTGACTCTTCAAAGTTCCTCCAGAGCCAAAATATATTATGCAACTCTCAGAGACTGAAAAGTACTCCTCATAAGTCATGGCTAGTAAACTGACTTTGACATGTACATCTGGTGGTGTTTGACCGTCACAACATCACAGCAAAGCTTACTCTCACCTCAACCTAAACCTCAACCCTAACCCTAACCCTACTCTAACCAAGTCTTAACCTTCAAACAGCTCTTTGAAGACGTGACAACTGAGCAAGCATCCTCGCTCTCACAAAGATGGAAGTACAAGAACACACATTGTTCTGCTTGAACATATGCTAGCCTTT